GAATGAATTACTGACTCTGTGGAGTCGAGAAACTGGTATCACTAGCTTGTGTTTGTTCCTAGTGTTTACAGAATGTATATCACTTCTTTTACTAAAACTATCTTTGTTTTTGTGAACATACATTAAATTTTCGTAAATATACTGAGAGGCCAAAGTTAATATATTAATTTCTTTAAATTTATCTCTAAGGGACTCTCTCGGTTTTAGATTGTAAATAGCTCTAATGGCCCTCTTCTGTAAAACAAAAATAGTTTCTGAATCAGCCGCATTTCCCCATAGCGAAATCCCATAAGACATTATGCTATGAAAATAACTAAAATAAACTAATTTAGCTGTCTCGACACTAGTGAGACCTCTAATCTTTTTTACAGCATAGGCTGCAGAACTTAGTCTGCTTGCTAATTTGGATATATGGGGGCCCCACTGTAGCTTTGCGTCAAGAGTGATGCCAAGAAAAACAGTGGATACAACAGGGCTCAATTCCTCCCCATTTAAAAACACATTGGTATTAAGATTTTTAACATTCGTTGTTGTAAATTTAACACAATTAGTTTTATTTCCGTTCAAATGCAGATTATTAACGTTAAACCAATGCACTAATTTTGATATAGCATTATTCACTTCGTCACATTTAAATGATTGACGTTTAAGTTTAAAAATCAAGGAAGTATCATCAGCAAATAATACTATATCATGACTATCCCCTACAAGGTGAGGTAAGTCATTAATATATACCAGAAACAGGAATGGGCCGAGAATCGAGCCCTGAGGAACACCCATTAGTACAGGTGACCCGGAAGAACTTTTACCATTGATAATAACCTTCTGTTTTCTATTACTTAAATATGAAATAATAAGTTTAAGCGCTGTGTTCTTGACACCATAGTACTATATATATATAAGATCAGATGTAGGCCAAGCTACAATATCAATCAAACACAACTAGTTCCGAAAATCAGCAAATTGAGTGGTTTTTGCACAATTATTGACTCTGGCTGAAATTCGAAGTTAGGAGTCGTAATTTGTAGATAGTTGCTTTAACCACTAAGCCACGTGGTGTTCTCCCATTAGAATGTATTAATCTTAAATATTAACAATAAAAACTATACAAAAAAAAGATTTATTATTATTTACTACAAGCGCCTTCAACTAGAGGTTACAAAAGGCGGACTTAATGACTTATGACGTTCTTTACCAGATGTGTAGTAAAGCAGCGTCACATGTTCGAGACGTATGATATTGCGACTGCAAAGCCGCATGCCAAGTGTGACCATTAAGGCCAATCCTTAACAGGACCGGTCCATGGTCCAGCCGTAGGCTTTCACGGACTGATAAGGAAGATGAACAGGCTATAAGGAGATTTAACTGTATATTAAGCCGGCCAGAGCCAATCAATTCGTGATTGCATAGCATTATCTGCACGTTAAAACATCTCATACAAGTTATGCTGATAAAAAAATTTCTTGCGTTTATCTTTAGATGGGGAAGTTTACGCGAGCAAATAAACGGAAACATCACTTTTTAATCGGAGCAACTTTAGCTTTGGCTTTTTCGACCTATATCGATCAGGTAATGTGTTCAATTTCAAATATTATGTTTTGAAAAAAAAATGTTTCTTAATTTATATAAACTTTATACTTATAGGCTCTGAGTTTACCTGTTGATACTTTAAACCAATGGCCGACGTTTCCCAGAAGAAATATTGCAGCTCTTGCTAGAGATGGTTATCTTAAAAGCGCCTCTCCAGGATTTAAGAGAAGCATTTCAACGCTAGCTAAAAATGGCCAATTACCTACATTTAAATCTCCATATGGTGAAGAAGATAAAACAGAACAAGACGACGAAGAGGTTCATGATAAAAGAAACATGGCTTCTATTGCTCGTCTTCGTAGCTATAGTGCTAAAAGGAATATTCAAGCATTGGCTAGAGATGGCTATCGTGTTGGTAGAGGGCACTATAATCAGCCTAATGATAAACGTAATATTGCCTCCATGGCTCGCAACGGAATGATTCACAAACGGGACGAAATTGTGGGAGATGAATATTATTACCCGTTCTTTCAAAACCCCGTCCCACCACTGTCGGAAATTGATGGCCCGTTCGATTTAAATGAGATGTACGATTTTCAACAATCTATTAATCCTGACATGCTACCCCCTTTATCGCAAGTTTCCAAACGTAGTGCTGTTCAGCCTATGGCTTATCCAGACAATTCCTATGAAACAAATTACGATAGCAATTGGTATTTAAAAAGAGGCACTGTGGGTATGCCTGTACATGGACTTTTCAGACCAATGTATATTGAGCCTGCTACACGTTCCAAGAGATACATATTATCGCTACCAGACGTCATAGATAATAATGATATTGAAGCAACTGAAAATAATGATAATGATAACGAAGACAAACGATCCGTGGGTGAGTTTAATGTGTTTAAATGTTTGTGTATGTTAGTATAATAATGTGTTAATTTTATTTGATTTATTGCATCTGTTACAGATGAAGATGAAGTTCGTGATAATTTTGAAAAACGTCATATTGGGTCTTTGGCCCGCTTAGGTCTATTGCCCTCTTTTAGATTCTCAGCAAGTCGCTATAGCAGATCTGGAAGAGCCAGACTGTTATTACCTAGTCAGGAGTTATACAGGTCTTGTAAAGATAGGATTTGAGAACTATCGATGTGATAGATTGTGTTAGAAAAATATTTGTTTAGTAGACTTATGTGCTTAAATGCTTTATATATGGGATGTCGCGTAGTAGCAACTGGCAAGCCAAAATGGCATGTTTGTTTGTAGTATAAGATAATTGTGAATAGAAGTGCAGATCGGTGTTTAGGTTTTACTTTTCAATAATTGGATTAAGAGCAACATTATAGTGCTGTATGCCTCAAATATGAAAATTGAACAGGCAGAGTGGCGAGGGATCAAGATTGTTAAAGCCCATTAGAATATACGCGCCGTTATCGCATGAGAATAGATTTAAGACGCTTAAATAAATGAGTGTAAGAATGATATTGTGACAACGGGGACCAATTTAATTAAAGATTTTTAGTGTATTAATATGATATTTTTTTTCAGGAAGCATTCCATTGACGAGAATTTCGGAATTAGGTAAGGATTTTTATTTATGTATCGTGTAAAACTTTTTTTTAAGTATTTTTGCCTACTATAAAGTGATGTCTGACATGAATCCCAGCTGACTGAAGGTGGTGATGTAGCCCTAGACATTAAACTAGCTGAGTTTTTTTAAGCATTTCATTCTGGTTTTTAAAAACTATCATGCAGGATCTGGAAAGCTAGTTAACTTCTTTTAATAACATTAAATTGAACAACTAATAAATTACAATAAAGTAACAAAAACATGCAATGCTGTATGTTGGTAGCGTAAGAAAATTCGTTATTCCATTTCACGCTGTAATTGGTGACAATGAAAAATACAATAAAGATGACTTGGCCATCGATAATATCGCCGACGCTAGATGTAAAATACGCAGATGGCAACACTGGTCATGGAGCGTAGCGTTAATACAATAATATCAAGTACTTCAACATGTTCTTCTAGTCTGTAAAAGTCCATCTGGACCTCTCCCATTGCGGGGAGGATTGGCTTTAACCATCGCGCTTGGCATGGGGATTGCGATCACAGTGTTGCCCTTCACCGGTCTTGGTGTTATATATCTGGCGTAAACGGGATGGTTATTTTATACCACCACTTATCAGACGCCCTATTTCTGTTCCCATAGTCGCAACTTGCGACACCTACGGGATGAAATGTGGCGATATATCTCTTAAATTGCCATCGCATGGAACATCAGCTGTTATAGCAATCAAAAGTTTGCGAAGTACCTAGCCGTGGACTGTTATGGGGTTATGAAGAAGAAACGGGAGAAGATCAATTTGAAATGAGTATATAAGCTACTATCGAAGTAATAAGTTATTCCATGTATTTCCTTTCATTCGTTGGATTTTCCATACGCTACGTGACAATTATTGGACAATAAGTCGTAATGAATACTTCCGCGTTGCCACTATTGGTCTTACATTCGTGATTTAAAAACCATGCGCATTCAACTATTTTTTTAAAATAATGGTTTAATTATATCGCGTTAATTAACGTTTAGTTTTGTAACTGAAATAGTAGGTATTTATATGAATATCTTTATAATAGGTATCTACTAATATTTTACTTTTGTGTCCTTGTTTGTTGATAGGAAGTATTTCTCTAGTCCCGAAGATGACGCAACAGCCGATTCAAACGACGCCGACTTACCGCCGCCGCCAATACTTGCTAACACGCACCCGACCGGCCGGTACCTCCACCGATCGCTAAATGACCTTCCAGGATCGTCGAGCTCCCTCCCACAAAATCCTTCAAATTCTGTTGAAACATTTACTAAAAATAACTGGCAGCCAAACTCGAAGAATGTTCCAAGGTTCTATTACTTTAGGTCACTGAAAGTCCCTTATCGTTCATCCGGAAAGAGATATTTACTATTACCTGCAGTCGATAATATAATGCTTAGGAAAACCTACCGCAACAGCAGTCTTCCCAGTAGACGTAAGAACCAATAGCTGTGCGGCTGCCGAGGCGATGCTTAATTGCTGAATTCTGAGAAAAAGGGACAATAGATTTTTTTTAATCAAAATTGTTGTTACCTAAAAGGATGTAGTATTCTATCCATTTCCACAGCATCGTTCTCGGCAGACGCTAAAGATTATCGCCTTATTACAAAACGTAGTTTATTGATCGTCTCAGGTTTAAGCGATATTTGAAGAAGAAGAAGTGTCTTTCTCATGAAAGATGACCTTTAGCCGCGGAGCCAGGTTACACATATTTTCTGCGGGAATTCTTTAACCTAGAAAACTAAAACTTCTTTGTTTAACCTGTGACAAATAATTACAAACTACTTTTTGTAATAAGACGGATTATGTTTCGTATTTTTGAATGGGAGGGAATTCATTGAAAATAGCTAATAGACAATAATATTTACTTAGAATTTGATGTTGATTGTTGTGATTCAAGTTGTTTTTATTATGTATTAATATTAATTATATCATAAAATTAGACTCTGAGTATAACAGGTCTCAACTCTACTAAACGACATTGGCTAGTTTATGACTTAAGATACGTGTAAGATGTTTAAGGTATATCATATAGATATCATTTTTGAAACGTTGTCAATCGCAAATATAACATAAAAAAATATGTTATACATAAGAAATGAAACTAAAAAAAAAAAATATAATTAATACTTTGAATTTACTCAAAACTTAACTATTTTATTTCTGAAACTATTCTAATTAGAATATAAAAAGTATTAAAAAGTTGTGATAAATATCCATGTATTTCTTTCTATATCCTTTCTAATGGTCTCTTTACTGACTAGAGTAAGCTGTGTTTGACAAATAATATTTTTTAATTAAAAAAACATGTTAAAGTATTATACACATGTTTTAAATTACATTTTTGGCTTATTATACTACACTTATTAATCTTTAATCTATATTGAGCCTAACAATTCTTACATTGACAATAAATAGGCAACTTGATATGAAATTGTGACCACGAATGATAATAATTAAAAAAAAGTTTTACTGTAGATTCCTATTTGAAATGTCTATTTTACAAATATTATCGTAATAACATAATATCTTAATCTATTTCTATGTAATGTTAACTGTAAATAAACGATAATATGACAGATCTGTTTTTTATTTAAAATTCAAGAAACTAATTTTACGCACTTATTAATAATAGTGTTCTTTACTTCAATCGCAAATCCGTCTCAATGTAGTGTACTGTCATCGCTAAAGCCTATCAAAAGGTCCACTGCTACACAAATACCTCTCAAACAGTTACTGATTTGCCATAGTTGCCACGCTTGCCAGGCTGGTTGGCAACAGCAGTTAGTAATTATTTTGAGTTGTTATCGGGAAGGTGCTGCTGCCCATTTACTGTTTCATTTCCCTCTATCTTCTTTTCCACCCACGGAATGATATATGGTGTAGTGAATTACTTATGAATTACTCAATTTACTCATACACCGCCACTACACAGCGTACTGTAGGCACTGCATTGAACGAATTAGCACACGACGAATAATTTTTCTTAACATTATCTTTAAGATTAAAGGCAGAGCCTCAGACTAAAATAATCACACATATGTAAAAAAAATAGTAACATGGATTCGACTGTAATTCGACATAGTAATAATTTTATTACGCAGTTGGTATCAGGAAATGAGACGATAATTTGGAATTCCAACAAAATAGTTTTATATAAAAAAAAAATCATGCAAAGCTTCAATATGTTTCATAGGCAGCTTCTTTGAGTTCCGCGCTCATGCTGGACGTAATATTTTTCAAGTAAATGGTAGAAAGCGTACAGTTCTTGATAGTAACACTCACTACTATAAACAGACAATTTAGTGAGTTCATTATCAGTTATGGGATTCTTTGATTCGGCATATTGAAATACACTATTAAAATGTCTCAAATGATTGAACGATTACTTTTTTTTATAACACTGAAGTGACAAATGAACTTACAATCCACCAATAGCAAATGGTTACTGCAAGCTGTGGACACCAGCAACCAACTTCAAACTAAGAAGGCCGCAAAACTGATCTCACCTCTGAGTACTGAGATGGAAGGCAAGTGCAAGCACTGCTAGACTAAATACGTCATACTACCTAGTTGTACCATAAACATTGTTTGCTAGTAAACAGTAGGTGAAAGTGATATACTGGTAAGTATACAAGGAAACACCTTCATCTGGTGTTGCAGTTGTTCATGGGCGGCGGTGGTCACTTACGATCAGTTTAGCTGCATACTCGTTTGTTCCATATATAAACAAATTAAATTGTAAATTAAATAAATATACATGTAGTGGTGTAATTAAAACGTAGAGATCATATAATAAAACAGAACTGGACACTAAGAATACATGTTTTCTTTATTGTTATTTAAAATATACAAATTATCATCCAGAAGTTGTACTGCAATCAGAGCCACGGACATAGGAACATCGGCCTTCGTTACAGTAAGGAAGTAAGCCATGGCAGGTTTTTAATATTCCAATATTGCTTGAGAAACAAAGCAAAGTTTGCCTACAACTTGCACAAGTACGTCCAATCTGAAAACAATTTTGCGGATTACAGTTTTATTTAAAAACTACAATAATTACAATATTATTACTATGACGATTTTAAATTATTAATTTACAGATGAAGCCCTTAACGTTGTTATAATTTAGTTATTGTTTTAATAAAGTAATATTTTTCTCATGATCTAATGATATATAGACAGCAATGGTAATCAAACAAAGAGTGACTTTCAATAAGTATTATTTACGAGTATAATCTATATTGAATAAAAAAGTTTCTGTTTTTGTAGCTGATTCTTATCCGATGACTATTAATATTATCAAGGTTCTGTCATCATAACTTAGATACTATTATGTTTCAATTATGAAATATACTTCATAAGACAACTCAAAGTCTGCAGCGGCTTAAATTCTTTATTTTGCAGTTAGTAGACAATCCCTAAATAATTTTACTTTGCGATAAAGTCCTGAATCACAGGAAAATTGGCTCCAGGGAACTTTTATGATTCTAACTCATTGAGTAAATCATGCTTATTTTGGGCATTATTATTTTTTAAAAAATCTTCATGATATTCTTTTAATACACACAAGTTATATTAAACAAATTATAATGACTTAAAACTTCCGTTGAATAGAATTTTTTCTGAACTTCATTTAACGAATTCGGCTTTTTTATTTTTTATGTATTAAGACGGTCTAAGATCTAAGATAGGTTTCTGATTATTTTGGTTTCCATGAAAATGTAATGAACATATATTTGTTTCTTCGCCACAAAAAATTTTGTACGTTGTAGAGCCATGCTGCAGCTTTATTAGTAGTATAGTTGTAGCACGAATGGGTCGGCTCGACCGGGGTAGGACCACACTCTCAAAGAATACCAGCGTAAAATAGCAGCTTAACACTGCTGTGTTTCGCATGGTGAGTGTAGAGAACCGGAGACCCTTTTTACTGGAAAAGAGGCATTCCACCTTAGTCCTCACGGGTGACAACGCATCTGCATTTTGATTCGCAAACGAGGACAGATGTAGATGTCTATGGGCCACAGCAACCACTTACCATGAGGTGGAATGTGTGCTCGTTTGTCACCCTATCCTATAAAAAAAATATTATAATAATACGTTATAATATGTATAGGTTGTATAATAATACAGCATTATACGTTAAAGTTTTAAATAAGTTTTAAATTTTTGCTAACGACAAATAAGAAATCCCACAGAGTCGGCTCTTTTGACTTAAGCAAAGAGCAGCAGAATCAATGAGAGGATTGATTTTAGACTAATTTTTCATGAAATGCATAAGTAAAAGCTCAATTATTTTTGGATACTAAAGTGCTTGAGCTGTTGGCCGTGTAGTGGCGGTTCAAAATATCCACTACCCCATATCTTCCCGTGGGTGTAATAAGACGCGAGAGTGGGAAACAGGCAGGAGATGGGCAGCAGCATCTTCCTGATAACAACAATATTACAATAAAAAAATTGTGGTTGCCAACCCGCTCGCCAAGAGTGGCAAATATGGCAAATATCCTCCCATGATGAAAGTTACGAAGAGATGGGCCCCAGTCCCCGGCAGCCCCGCTATTCTTGGCTACGGTGGCGACCATGCCAACGGCGGGGCAGGGGGCGCTAAAAATCTCCGGTGGAGGTTCGGTTGCAACCTATCTTAGTTAGACTCCACCTGGCAATATACAATGCACGCACCCTGAGGACCGACGAGAAGAGCTTGGAGCTGGAAGAAGAGACAGGCAAGTTACGCTGGAATATTATAGGATTATGCAAGGTCCAAAGAGAAGGGTAATTCTCGAATCTGGCTAAGTTCTGCAAAGCCCGCCGCAGAAGAACACAAAAACTCTCCCATCACACTCTTAATCTCATGGCTGTTAGACGGGAAATGAAGCTGCAGTCTTCAACAGATTTGACGGAATACAGGCAACTACACAAACAGATCTCCAAATACATGTGGCGGCACTTACGCAACTTCAATACAGCTCGTATTGAAGAAGCGATCGAGCGGAACCAAGGCTCCAAAGTCTTTACCAAAGATATGTTTGCCAGAAAGAGCCAACTGTCAAAGCTGAATATAGAGTGTGGCAGCATCGTTTCCGGGACCCCTGAGATTTTGAGTGAGATAGAGAGGTTCTATGGGCAGCTGTACACATCATCGTTGGAGCCATACGCAAGTGTGAGTAACGATCAAAGAGCGAGCCTTAGCCGCCACTATTCCGATGATGTACCGGACGTCAGTCTGAACGAGATTAGAATGGATCTATAGCACCTTAAAAACGGCAAGGCCCCAAGTGAGGATGGAATTACAGCGGAGCTTCTGAAAGCGGGTGGAAAACCAGTACTTGAAGTCCTTCAGAAGCTCTTTAATCCCGTCCTCCATGTTGGGACTACACCGAAGGCGTGGAGCAGAAGTGCGGTGGTCTTGTTCTTCAAGAAAGGTGACAACGCTCTTTTGAAGAACTGCAGACCGATTTCCCTTCTGAACCGCCTCTACGTGCTGTTTTCGGGAGTCATTATGAATCGTCTCGCATGCAGACTCTACGACTTCCAGCCTCCCGAACAAGCCGGTTTCCGAAAAGGCTTTACATATACCACATACTTACCCTTCGGCAAATTGTACAGAAGTCCGAGGAGTACAATTTACCACTATGTCTGGCGTATGTGGACTATGAGAAAGCCTTTGATTCCGTCGAAATATGGGTGGTGCTGCAGTCCGAGTCAGCTACGATGGCTATCCGAGTACAGAACCAGAGTACGAAACTAACCCAACTGCAGAGAGGTGTAAGGCAGGGTGACGTTATATACCGAAACTTCTCACCGCTGCATTGGAAGACGTTTTCAAGCTACAGGACTGGAAAGTATACGGTATTAACATCAATGGCGAATACATGCCTCACCTTTGATTTGCCGACGATATATTCCTTATGGCAGAATTGCTAGAGGACCTAAGCAGTAATGCTCAATGACCTCAATAGTGTCTTCCAACGGATAGGTCTTAAGATGAATATGGACAAAACAAAGATCATGTTTAAAGCCCATGTCACAAATGTCACTAAGCTTGAAGTTGTTGACCAGTATGTTTACTTGGGGCAAATAGTACGACTGGGTAAGTCCAACTCCGACCGAAAGATCAATCGACGGATACAACTCGGCTGGGCAGCGTTCGGGAAATTACGACACATCTTCTCGTCAGGTATACCTCAAAACATTAAAACGAGAATGTACAACCAGTGCGTGTTTCGTGGGTATTGTAGAACAGAGGGAAACAAATCAAGAGATGGGCACTATGCTCAGTGACCTATGAATGAGCCTTCCAATGGTTAGGTCTTAAGATGAACATGGACAAAACAAAGATCATGCATAACGTCCATGTCACACCTATGCCGGTAGTTGTTGGGAGCACTAAGCTCGAAGTTGTTTGTTGCTCGATGTTTACCTGGGATAAATATGGACTTACCTAGTTGAGTTATTTGTCCCAGGTAAACATCGAGCAACAAACAACTTTGAACGAGAGGTCAATCGACGGATTCAGCTCGGCTGGGCAGCGTTCGGGAAATTACGGCACATCTTCTTGTCAGGTATACCTCAAAACTTAAAAACTAGACTGTAAAACCAGTGCATGTTGCCAGTGATGACCTATGGCACTGAGACGTGGTCCTTCACTGCTGGCCGGATGTGGAAGCTCAAGATCGCTCAGGAGCTACGGCTATGCTCGGAGTTTCTCTGCGTGATAAACTTAGAAATGAGGATATCTGCAGTAGAACCAGAATGACTGACATAGCCCAACGGATTAGTAAGCCGAAGTGGCAATGGGCCGGCCATGTACCTCGAAGAACCGACGGATGGGGAAAAAAGGTTCTCGAGTGGCAGCCTCGTACCGGTAGGCGAAGTGTAGGGCAACCCCCCCACTAGATGGAGTGACGACCTGGTAAGACATGCAGGAAGTCGATGGATGCATTTGCCTTAGGACCGTGCTTTGTGGCATTCCTTGGGGGAGGCCTATGTTCAGCAGTGGACTTGTGAAGGGCTGGGAATGATGATGATGATGAAGAAAAAGCTTGTAATGAAATGTTTAAGTTACTAACTCATACAAAAAAATACTACGTGCTCGTAACTTTAGAAAAACAAAATGAGCGAAGAACGTGCTTGAAATATAGTAATTACTTTCTAGGACACTTGAATTTCGCCATTTCGTATAATAGACACTAGTCACCGTCGTTGAGAAAAATATTTTCCTGCTCTATATTCTATTTATTTATTCTGTATAGTAGGGTGATTATAGGCTGTGATAAAATTGAAATTTATTAAAATATCAAATGCTTTATTATTAGCATTTACTTAAGTGGCAGGGCAACGCTACTGCTGTAGGTTAGAATAAGTCGGCTTAACCTCGGAATTACCACACTTGTACAGGATATCAGCTTAAAATAAGAGCATAATGCTGTATATGTATGACTAAGACGATAACTGGACATACTTTCTACGGGTATTAATTTATTTCATCTTAAGTCCTAAGGGGTGTATATGCATTTACATTTTGCTTCTAATTGAGGGTAGATGTAGGCATCTATGGGCCACAGTATTCACTCACCATCAGCTATATTGTTCGCTCCTTTATAACCCCTACTTATATCAAGAAATAGCTTACCTGAGCGGTTGAGTTACACCCTACAAAGCGACTAAAGAAAAAGAATCTGTTATGCAAAGACCCGTCCCCTTCACCAGCCTCGTTGGCATCTACTTGTGTATTTTCTTGCGACCCAGTTTCTTGACCGAAAATCAAGTTAGCAGCAATCTATTGAGAAAAATTTTATGTTATAAAAATAAATATCTATACAAATAAATAAAATTTAAGTGTCTGTTTGTAATGTTAAAATAACAGTTTTTTTACTAAATGCATATGAAAGTACATACGGTACTAATAACTAAAAAACAATTTTTTATCATTTTTGTCTGTCTGTATGTCTGTATGTCTGTTTGTTCTGGCTAATCTCCGAAACGGCGGGACCGATTTTAACGGGACTTTCACTGGCAGATAGCTGATGTTATAAGGAGTAATTTAGGATACTTTTATTTTAGAAAAAGAATCAGGGTTCCATTAAAACCCTTGAAATCGTAGTAAATTCTACGCGGGCGAAGTTGCGAGGGACAGCTAGTAATAAATAATTAAAGGTGTAAGCGAAGTTATGTAAACTTTTTCGAACACAAGACTAATTCAAAAACAACCTTTGTATAAAATTAATAGTAAAGTTCTTTTCTACTCTCATTTCCAAGAGGGTTATAGAGTAATTAGGCCGTGCTGCTTAAGTGCGTGTTGGCGAACTTCACAACCAGTCTCCGAATTTTTATTCCTGAGACGTGCAGATTTATTCACGGTATTGTTTCTCACAGCTGAAGCAGATGGTAATTCAGCACCATAAATAAAATCAGCATCTTAAAGTACAATTGACCAGTTCATTGGCACCAGCGGGAATCGAATTCAGGTTTCTCGCGGTCTATGAAATTTACAGCAAGTGCTTAGCTCCTGAGTTACAACGGTTCCTATACATAAATAATGACTTCTCATTAAACACGTTTTATAGAACATAATAATACAGAAATAATGTGCGAATGTTTAGTAAAAATACGTACATATGAGAATATGTATGTATGAAAGTGATTGGATATTCTTACCATAGCTACAAGAAGGAAAATGTGACTTTTACTGAGCACCATCTTGACTCTCCGTATGTTCCACTTCTACCATGAAGTGAGGAAAATATGTTTCAGTCAGTTTATATATGACGTGAAACAATACTGTCATTATTATCAAGCAGGGCTGTTTGTCTTTTAATAACATGTTGTACATAATGTTCTTCAGACAGAATTTTGGTCACGGCAGCCAGTCTCAATAGAGACTAGCCACCTGCGCAGGACAGGATTATAGTGCCCGAGAGTATGCGCAACCACAGGTTCACTCTGAATTCTCTCATAGTTCGATAGGATGGCAAACCGACACGACCGGAAAGAGATCGGGCGCAGGATCAACGACTTTACGTGCTTTGCGAGGCACAGGGTTAAAATACCGCCAACATTTGGGACTTCGGGAGAATTTCTTGATAGAAAAACTCAACAACTGATTTTTTGGCCCGACTCGGGATGGACCATATGATCAGCAGTCGCGTTTATGACCACTTAACCAAAGAGGCCGTAAAAAAAATTATTGTACGTAATCACCTTTAAAAGTCTAATACTGAACATAAACCTCCCCCAGAGAAAGCTACTAACATAGTTTTGAGTCACCTGCATTCATCGAATTGCTACATGTTTACTAGGTCGTCATTTGATTCGACCTTTTAATATTTTAGAATATTGAACAGACTCGTATATAGCACCTCATATGGTAATATTTTTTAATTCTACATTATCGTGTAAAAATCTACTGCTGAACCTGCCTACCTAATATAGCAAGGATTTTTCATAAGCGACACAAATGGCAGGCGTATTGACCAATGCAGTACCCAATTTCTTTCACATTTTTAAAATTAATGCTCTCGTCACTGGTATATTTTAAACCTGGTATTAAGTACGTATATGACGGTGTAATAACATCTAGGCCATGAAGTTTTTATTATAAGACTAATCGTCTCATACGCCACTCAAGGCACAGATTATCTAACTACGCACGCAAGGTACGATATAGTTTTTTTTCAGTACAGGTTTTCCTAAAAGGGTTACATGTACATTGATTGTACATGGACGTACATCTAAACCTGGAACAATTATTGTACGCCCTTCAAAAACTTTATCACTACGCGATTCAAGCCTGTGGCACCGCAGTGAGGCAGCCAAACGTTTACCACTGCACTACCAAGCTGCAATGGCAATTATTTACGCATATAGTCGCGGTGGCTTTTGATAGCTCAGGGAATAAAGACTTTTATAAGATTTACCAGTATGCTGAATATAAAGTTGACCAAAGATTATCACTTAACTATCGATGTAGGAGACGATCTCCTTGCAATTGACAACTATTATTTTTAAGATTGAGCAAAGGCAGCCCTGATCATGATTCATCTTTTTAATACTCTAATAACAAAATGTATTACAAAATATATTGTTATTATTATATTAAATTTGTAAAGATAAAGGCAGTTATGAAGAAAACGAATCGTGAGATCGTGTTACATAGCGACGCTCTACAGGAAATGTATTGACTGGCGGTTACGTAAACTTTAATTTGAACTGCTTTGTTTTGTTTGTATGCTTAGTTATACTGGTATAAAGTAAATATCACAAAATAGAATAGAATAGAATAGAATGATTTTTATTCAATATGGATTATTACATAATACTTATTGAAAGTCATTATTTTATTTACCACTGGTTCGGAAAATACCTCTGTCCTGGGAAGAACCAGCCAGAAACCCAGCCGGACTTTTTTTTAAAAATATAATTTCACTTAACAATAATTTTGTTATACAATTTTAAATGAATTTTCATAGAACCAGCATGGTGGCGATCACCTTATTCCCAGGGGTTATTTTCATTCATGTATTCCTTGATATTATAATAACCCTTTTTGTACAGTTTTTCTTTAATAAAACTTTTAAACTTGTTTATTGACAAACTTTGAACATGTTCCGGGATTTTGTTGTAAAAGCGTATACATTGCCCCATAAATGAATTACTAATTCTGTGGAGTCTAGTAAGTGGCATTACAAGCTTATGTTTGTTCCTAGTGTTTAAGGTATGAACATCCTTATTCTTATTAAAGCTATTTATGTTTTTATGTACATACATTACATTTTCATAAATATATTGCGATGCCAAAGTTAATATGTTTATTTCTTTAAATTTTTCTCTGAGGGACTCTTTACAATTTAGATTATAAATCGCCCGTACGGCTCTCTTTTGCAAAACAAATATAGCTCGCAATCAGTCGCATTACCCCATAGCAAAATTCCATATCTATGAAAGTAACTAAAATACACTAACCTAGCTGTCTCAACATCTGTGAGACTTCTAATCTTTCTTACAGCATATGCTGCAGAACTAAGTCTGCTTGCTAATTTAGATATATGGGGGCCCCATTGAAGTTTCGCGTCAATAGTAATACCGAGAAAAACAGTGGTATCCACAAGACTCAACTCCTCCCCATTTAAGAGCGAACTCCTACTTCATTTTTTCCTCCGTGGTAAAAAGAAGTAAACCCTTGTGGTTTACCTAGATGTTGGTATATAATCTAGTATATTAATAATAAAATTATTCTGACTGGTGACAGAGCACCGTCAAAGGAGACATCTGGTAGTATGATCGTTAACTTGTCTGTCAAGAGTGGCGATTATGGCAAGCCTTACTTCATTTCATTAAAAATATTAACACTTACATCTATATATATTCTAGAAGTATGCACATTTGTCAAAAAGAATATGCACCTTTTTCAATATACTCCCGGCCTTGTTTTTTACGTCCTAATAATAAATTAGCTCCACCTATCACAAAATTACAAACAGTGAAATCAGGACCCTATGGTATGTGTGTAAAAATTTATAATAAAATCCCTAAATGTCTACAAAAAGAAGAATCATTAAATAAATTTCAAAGAGAGCTTAAAAAACATTTAATTGAAAAAAGTTTTTATTCGTTGTCAGAGTTTTTCGGGGAAAAATAATAATTGTTTAATTAAATATATGTATATATACGTTTTTATTGCGTTTATTAAACCTAAAAGTAATGTTTAGCTTAAGTAAATAAAATAAGTAATTAATCTTTATAAATCGATTAAATTAAATTAATATATAATGTTGCTATGCCCTATCAGGGCTCATGTTTGGCTCTATTATATCCAACATAAGAACTATTTATAACCACATGAACGCAATAAAATGTTTGAGTTTGAAAAAGCTTTACTAAGTGGTTGGAATCTTTTTCTGTCTAGGAGTCCGTCTGTAAAAAGTATAGAGAGCCAATATAATTCTAAGGCTTCCGTCTTAGTCCACAGAGTTCACATATATATAGCTTTCTCGTTTAAAATTGTTTGCAGGTGTACTTTTGCACACATCCGCGGCACCACCAGCGCCGGCCGCACCATGGCAGCCCCTTCTCGGGGGAGGACCTAGTGGATCTCTCCATTCTCCTTCTCAGGTGCACCAGGAACTCAAGGAACGCACCCCTCCATGGCCTCCAACTCCACCTGCGTATCGGACTCCCCCGATACGCGGAGGCCATGGGGCCAGGAAAATTGAGCACTTAGTAGCACCCGCTTTCCCGACCCCAGCGGCGGATCTGGTCTCTGGCTCCGCCGCCAACCAAGTTTCGGCCGCGGATGAAAGGGAGAGCGGCGCTTCGCATTATCGACACTCCTCTCCTCCTCGCGGCCCCACCACCACCGCATCAATGGTGCGGCCCAGTTTGAGTCGCGGAGGATAGGGCGAGTGCCACATCGCCATACCAACACCCCTCTTCCTCCGCGACTCCACCTCGGCTGCAGTGGTAGGGGTAGAGGACACCCCTCTCACTGCAACAAACATCCGAAGTGGGCTCACTAACCTCACTCGGAGTAGCCATCTCGGGCCAGCCCTACACCACGGGCCAGCTTAGGGGTTCCTCTTTGTTCACCGCGGGTGACCAAGCCACGGCTACTAAGCCCCCCCGCCAAAACAAGGCGGGAACCCGTTCGGGAAAGTAGCTACTCGACTACTGTAGTGAAACACCTCCTAGGAAAAGCAAGCATTTAGCTTAAAGAGTTGATGACTCATCTAGTTTAGGTAAGATTATCGTTACAGCCTATTAAAGTCCACTGCTGAACATAGGCCTCCCTCATAGATTGCCTCATACATATACATACGTATATTTGCCAAAGTTGCTACGCTTGGAAAGTGGGATGGCAACCTTGGTTTTTTATTTTTAGTCGTTATTAGGAAGACGCTGCTGCCCATCTCTTGATTTGTTTCCCTCTGTTCTACGATACCCACGGAATGGTATGGGGTAGTGGATTTTCTTACACCGCCACTGTACAGATTAAACGGTGTACAATCTTATAGGACATAATATTTTTTAAACGTGTGGTGTGATAGCCGCCATGTATGCATCATTCAATTTCGCTACTTGGGTGTCAAAAAAGCTCCCGATGGATAGTGGATGGGATATAATGGAGACCAGACCAGACCGGCCATGGACAGCAGTGTCAAACGTGCGTGATATCTGATACTGCAAGCCACAATCTGTCGGCCTAGTATGGTGATTGTGATTGAGGCTACCTACAAATAAAGAGGCCCATGTCAAGCTGCGGACTCTTGCGGGCTGATGAGTACAATATATACATGTGGTGATCCTTGTTATTGACGTTCGTATTATTCTGACTAACAGCTCAGTAGCATAGTGGAATATAACAAAATATCAAAATAGTAACATACTCTCGTTTATACTTCCTAAAATCCTGCAGTATGGGATATGGCAAGTAGCCATTATTTAAATAAGGGGTGAGATTGGGAAGAACTTTTCCTTATGTTCTATTAGGGAGATGAAATTGACGGAAAAAACGAACTGAATCGTCATAACGCGCCACGTGAACACTACCTCTACAACACTATTTGAACTTCGCTTCCGCCATTGACTTTCATAAGCTGATAGATAATGATGACAACCAAAATAGAAACTAAGGAACACTAAAACCAACTTTTTTATTTGATATGAACAGAAGGCATTATTTTAATATTACAAACACCTCATTTTTATTTATTATATAATGATGATAAAAATGGTGAAAT